ACCCTCCCTGATCCCTGCCTTACCCATCCCCATCCCCCCCAGGCCCCTGAGGCCCCCAATCCCTGCCCCACCACCCCAGCATCCCCACAGTAAAAAAACCCAACAACCCTCCAGCACTTATCGGCAGTCCAGCTGCCATCTGGGTCACTGGGGCTCTACCCACACAGCACGGGGCAGAGGGACTGCCCCAGTGGCCCCAACCAAGGCCCTCCTGCCCTCCACTGCCCTGTGGTGCCCAGGGGGGCTCTGCAAGGAGGCTCCACAGGCCCCAGAGCCCCTGCTTCTAGGGTAAGTAGAAGCATTTTTTTTTAAGTGATGGTGCCTGGGGTTGGTAGGGCGCAGCCATGGGGGCCTGGGTGTATAAGTGCAGGATGTGGATGGGAGGGGCAGCCATTGGGGGGACTAGGAGAGTGGGGAGTGGGGCTGGGTTGGGTAGCCATCCTGGGGCTGGGGTGGGGCATGTGGGCCATGCAGCAGAGGGGTGGTAGTCTCTGCGGGGTCCATTTGATCCCTGTTGGGGGGCTGCCGTCCCTGTGTGGGGGCTGTATCCCCTGTGGGAGGGCAGCAAAATATATATTCATATGTTCATGAATTCATGAAACATATATTTAGAGTTCACTTTATTATTATGATAGAGACACTGGTAGGCTTCCATGTTGCTTTAACAATAAAACATTGCCCAACTGATCACTATCTCTGTCTCATTCTCTCTCTCTCTTGTTGTAGTGGGCTTTTGTTTTAATTATGGAGGAACATGGATTTGGGAGTATTTTACAGAGTGACTTTGGGTTTTTTTTTTTATCAGGGATTTTTCAGTTTTTCAGTAGGGAACACCAGAATTCCTGCTAGGGCAGCCAGTGGCAGAACCCTGCCTACTCAGAGCTGGCACCTTGGACCCAGCTGGCTGTGGCCGACCTCCTGGCCAAATGGGAACAGAAGGACATGCTTTGACAGTTTAAAGCAGGCCACCACACCCAGAACATCTGGGCGATAGCAGTCCAGGTGGCTGTGCAGGGGGCACACATGACAGTAGTGCCACACAGAGACCAACTCTGCAGCCACAGCCCACTGGAAGTTGGCCCAGAGGGGCAGATGCCTCTACTGGCTCTGCAGTCCCCATCCAGGTCTGGCAGGTGTGCAGCAGGTCACAGCCAGGCAGCATCCCCCACTGCCAGACTGCTGCCGAGGGTAAAGGGTGCAGGGAACTCTCAGGCCTGCTTCAGCAGTCCAGCTGGCACAAGAGGTAGTGTCCCCAGGTACCAATTCGCTGGGCCCCAGAAGCTCCTGAGAGTGAGTAGCCCTGAGCTACTTGCCAGAGCAGTTTTTTGTACTGCTGGGGCCAGACAGGGAAGCTTTTTATACTGCTGGGAAGAGCACAAGTGCTGGCCCAGGGCTCCAGCTCCTTCTGTCTGTAGATCCAGGAGGAGCCAGGAAGGGTTATTTTGCCCCAAGTGGCACAATTTGCTCCACAACAAAGTGCATGTCCAAGCACGTGTTCTGATGCAAAAAGCCCCAGCTCAAATTTGCACCGCTTCTATTTGAGCTGTTGCAAGCGCATGTGTTTGCATGTGTGGATGCACCCAAGGAAGCCTTTAACATGTTCACAACTGGGATGAGGTGGTTTAATTGCCCATTATACTATCATATTTCATACAGTGGAGCCATAAGATGTCCTTTCACACCAGATCATCAAAATTATATCATTATTTTTTATTGGAAAAAATGTAAAGCAAGGATAGTTTGGAAGAAAATTGATATAATACAAAGTGTAATTGCTTTAAGGAAAATCCTAGACTCTATAGACAAGTATACTTTGGTTAACAAATGTAGCATATAGCAGAATCAGTAACCGGTCAAAGAATGGGGCATTGCCAAGAGAGCTGAGATTTAATTTAAGGAAAGTGCCTCTGGATTCCCTAAATGGGAGATCATGTCTAACAAATGTTATTGAATTTTTTCTTACTACGTTAGGTTACAGGGCACATACCATGTAAGGACTCCTTTTAAATAGAAAATGTCTGTTCAATTATGATACACATTAATTACCCTATCAATATACACAAGTGCATGATTGTTTGTGTACTCTAAATTAAATAGTAGATTATAAGGGAATTATTTTTGATTTAATACACAGCAGACTGGAAGTGTACATAATTACTCTGGGCCTGATCATCTCTTTCTGAAAGAGGTAAATTTAGAGCAAGACATATTTGTAGAGATAATGCAGTCTCCTGAATTATTTCAGTGATAGATCAATGTTTTGTTCCTCTCAGGCTATGCCACAGGATGATTTCCTATGAACTATGGACCCCAAGGTTCTCCACATGGCACTCCTACTTTCAACCAGAGTGCCATGACACCCTCAGATGCCTTGTAATCCTTTTAAGGTTGTTGTGTGGTCCTTTGCAATGTTAGCATTGTTAGATGTGCAAACATGATTCACAAAATAAACCCAGAGATTTCAAATAGGAACTTATAAGGTTCAAAATATTCTAAACTGGTGTGCTGTTTCAGCATTCTTTGCAACAGAATAATAGTTCTATTTTTTCTTTATTCCAAAATGAAGTGAAAGTTTAGAGCCTGAATTTTTCCAAGGGGTGCTTTGAGTTTTTTAAAAAGTTGAGAAGTGTCCTATGGTGTTCTGGGCTTCCCTTAGGGCATGTACAGGTGTTCCATGTAGATCAGTCTAAGTGAATGTAGATTGATTTAAACCTGCAACTGTAGATCATTGTCCTCTAGCATTTCAGTGTGGCTTATGCCCAGAGCATGGAGGTACATTAGCACTCAGCCCACTCTCGGGTGCTCTGATCAAGTGCCCAGAATACCCTATCCCTGGGCTTTCCCAGAGCCCCCAGGAGAACAGCTCCTCTCTCCTCATCCCTGGCTCATCCAGCTCCCAGCCACAGGAAGTTGGGAGGATAAGGGAAGCATGGTAGCTCTGCCCACCACACAGGTCCTAGGATCCAGGCACTGGAGCCCCAAGGCTGTTGCTCCATACCCCTAACATCCTGTCACAAAGCACCCCATAACCTACACTCACTCCCCAACACTGAACCCAAGAGAACCCCTGCACTCTGGCACAGCCATGCAGACCCCAACCCAGTCCTTGAGCACTTAGGCAGGGACTCTCAGACTTGGGCACAACCCCATGGACTCCACATCTCAGAAACTAGACCTAGGCATCCTGAAGAAGCCTGTGCAGGTATACCTCTTGTAGGTTGGGGTCAGGGATTACAGAACCTTAGAACTGGGCCTGCATGCAGTCAACCCTGTTACCTGTACAGCTTGGTCACTGCTGACACATGCACATGCCATGTGCACATGTGGTGCTCCCAGGACTTTTGTAGCATGAACTGAACTAATGTAGCTGATGTTAACATAGAGTGTAATAATAGTGAAATATAACTATGTTAGTCTTGTCTTGTAAGCAACTTAAAAACTTCATTTTGTATCCTTCTGCTTGACATAAGTGAATTAACTTTGTATAACCTTTATGTATGAGTGTGTGTAAAAGGTGAGAGAATGGCATAGAAGAAGATTCAACTGTTTATGTAAGCAACGAGGCACCAAATGTAAGTTACTAACCACTAACTAACTAACAAACAGCTGAAGAATCCCTTTGAAGCTCAAAGGCACAAAGGAAATAACAGAAGAAGAAATTCTGCAAGACGGGCAACAAGAATACTCCAAGGCTAAGATAAGCTGAAGACAAAAGAAGAACAGCCACAAAAACAGAAGCCGGGTATGGAAAAACCCCAAAGCACTGAAACAAAGAATGCCAATCCCTATAAAAGAACACTTTGAAAATGTCAAGTTGGGTGAGTCTCTTTCTCTACTGCTGTTTCTTCGGAGCACAGATGTATCTGTTCACCCCGCTCCAGCTGTTATCTTTAAACCTGATATCTTCAAATCATCATCATCTACTCAATAAGCCTGGGTTGGCCACCCTGGGCTGATATTGAGCAACTATTGCTCATAACTATATCTGGTGTATGTGTGGATGAAATGGTTGTTTTTGTGGATGTGTATGCCTGTGTGTAATGATGTTTTATGATTTGTGTGTGTTTGTATGAATGGTGTGCCTGAACCTCTATGTCTAACTCATGTAATCAATAAACACGGCACCTGCCTTATCCCCCTTTATAAAGTCTCACTCATGATTTGAGCAAGTGGCAATTTGTGTAACACTTTGGCCTGCAGGCATAGGGTCCCGGTATGCTAGGGAGGAATGAGGGATATAAGCATCCCGGGTAGAGAAGATGGGTAGATGCCCCTGGAAACTTGGGGAACAGCCAGGGTACAGCTAGCCACCTTAGTGTTGCTAGGAAGAGGCCCCTGGAAATTTCCAGGCTAAGGCATGGGGAGTTGCCAGCTGGAAGCCCCTGGGAAATTTAAGGTTGTGAAAGTGGCCTGGACAGTAAAGTCCTGGTCACTGGAGCAGTGGCTGCACCCAGCTGGAGTGAGTTGGAGATCCAGGCCCTGGGACACTTATCTACATACATTCACCTTTCAATCCTGCTGTCCATCCTCTTCCTCCTTGCAACTGGACTCTCACCCACCCACAGATGCCAACACCCCAAAGGCACACCACACACCATGGATGAGCTTGTCCCATCCTTCCCCATTACCCAACCCTAGTCACACAACTGGGATGACAGGGAGATGAGGGATCTCATCACCATCTGGGGAAAACAGGAGAGACAGCAACAGCTCCATATCAGGCACTAAAACAGAGAAATGTTTGAGCAGATTTCCCAACAGATGCAAATATGGAACTGTCTTGCTTCCTCACCACTGACAGAGCCATTGCAACCCTGCACACCTGTGGCATAAAGGAGGGGGAAGATGAGTCACTAGTATATTCACTTCTGCATAAGGGGGTGCAAGATGGCCCCAAAGTGAAAGGACAACTGG